TAGAGAGAATCGATGCCACGTGTTTTGTCATAACGAGACCGAAAATTATTTAGCTTCGATAAAATCTGATACGCGAGATTGCAGCCGTACAGCTCGATATTGGAAATTCCATGAGCGCGCGAGAGCTTATCGCTTTTTCAGCGTCGATTCTTTCTTTTTTACCTTTTATTTTATTTTATTTTATTTTATTTTATTTTATTTTTTTTGATTTTTGATAAAATTTCATTATTTTTTAATGAGGTTGCTTTTCGTAATCTGGGTATGAATCGAATCGAAATTGCGGATATTACGATCCAAGCAGCTCAGCATTTCTATGATTAGTGTTTTGGCCAACGGTGGACATGAACTATAAACCAGAAGCGTGATGATCTTTTACAAATTTAACACACTTCCAGTAGATATTTTTTATTTTATATATTTCAAACAAGAAAAAAATGAATAACTGAGTTAATTGAATCCATGCTTTAACTTATACAGATATTTTCACTTTGCCACTTACAAATTTACAAATAGAGGTACTCGCCATCTGGTGGTGGAGTTTTGATGCGATATTATTGTATTTAAAGTGCTTGAAAATTGGTCCACATTTTTGAAACTATTAAATTAACAAGACATTTCAAATGAATTAAATAAGTGTAACATAATAGTAATATAAAATCACAAAAACGAGCAAATGAACATGTATTTTAATTAATTATTAATGTCAAGCATTTCTACCGAAGTAAATTGACCAAAAAAAATGAAAAAAGTACAAGTACAATAAACTTGATTGTCCTCTTCATTTCGTCTCCTCTAACCTCGTTTTAATAAATGCGCGCTCGGCGCGTTGGATCCAGTCTAGTTGTTGAAAACGAGACATCTGCACTGTGGTATTCCGTATTAACGAGTCGTTCTATCTCTGTCTCTTTTGTCTTCGAGTTGTCCGATAATAGATTTTCGTTTCCCTCTCCCATACATATACTCGCTCTCAGCTGACAAATCGACGCGGTCTTGCGCGCGACTCGATGCCTCATCCACCATTCACACTTTCTTTCAATTATTTGAACTAATTTCGTGGGCAGGACGTCGCGATAACTTAAACATTCGGTAGCATCGCTATCCTGTTGAATTAATCTGTTAAGATCCACTCGCTACATAATCAAAAATAATTATTGAAAGCGTCCTCTTTGCGACTTCCGTCTTCGTGTTTATTCGATTAGTTTACAATTATGCAAAAAATTATCTTCGTCAAATAAATTGCAAAATTGACTTCATAAATTAGAACAATATACAGCCAACTATTTTAATAAAATTCGCCCTTATTGATGCGCCAAGTTTATTATCGTAATTATTTATAAACGTATGAGAGCCTATTGTAAGTGCACGTGCGGAACGACCTGGAGACAGAACTAATTTACCAGCGCAGCCGAATTCTGTATGAGCACCAGCCCAATTCTACGCGGTCGAGGAAATTCCAACTTTCAGCTTATTATTGATAAGAAGGACCGCACTAGCTCATAAGTTCTCTCCCACTCTCTCTCTCTCTCTCTCCGCCTGGTTTAAGAAACTAAGTTCAAGAGTTTCGGAGCTATAAATTTGTAGTCTTCGCGCGCATGCTTTCACGAACGCGCGGAGCGCGAGGGGGTCATTCATTAATGAATAGCATAATTGTTCGATGTGTCAAGGAACGTTAATTATCGACTCATACGCCAATATGGAACGGACGATGGGAGGAAGGGGGAGAGGTAAAGACTTCGAGACTATGGCTCTTTTATTTCGGGCCTTGATGTATGAAGAATTTAATTAAACTTAGAAATTTGTTAAGGCCGAAAGTTCAACATCTATCAACGGAAAGTATTACAAGTAGTTTAGCTCAATTATCGGTCAGGCATTAATCTTTCTTTTGTAATACCGGTTCACTGGCCACAGTTTTCTATATCAAAATTCCAATATTCTTTTTACTCCGAAACGAACAGATTTCGGTTTCCAGATTTATTTTTCATACGTTTTCTCGATCTGATCGCAGAGGATACTCTCTATAAAAGATGAAATGTCTCGAAAAAACTTGAGCCGAAAATATTCCACGTTAAAAGGGGTATTACAGATATTATCGATTGAAATTTTCTTCGACGCATAATAAAGGTTCAACGTGACAATTACGATACCGAAACAGCCCCACTAGTGCACTGACACAATGTGCCAATGTGCCTATGTATATGCCTTACAAACCATTACACGGTCTATTGTTAATTTTAGCAAGCTTCAAGCCACATCGTTCGCGTACACAGCAGCAGAGGCATTCGGAAAGGTGTATACACACAGCGCAGCGAACATGAACCTTTGGGTCGTTGTCAACTTATAAAGTAGCTAGTTTAGGGCTTACGGTGTACTCAATTTCGATTTTTTATCGCTTTTTTAGATACCCATTTTTTACCACACACACATCCCGTGCACCGCTATGACCTGAATAAAATAACGAAACTTTGCCGCTAATTTGAGGCTTTTTTAAAGAGGGGAAAAAAGTTAGAGTTTTTCCATCGCGCAACATTAACTAGGTAATTTTCCGCGTAAAATAAATATAAATTTTTAACAATTTTATCGAATATTTTACATCGTAAAGAGTTTACTATCTTTTTTTGAATTCGTTCCAAGTCCGCATTTCAAAATGTAAATCAAAAAATTGTTGATAGAAATTGCATTGCACGGCGCAAACTTACACACATACATATTATATACTATATGAATAAACGCATTATCAAGCAGTTCATTGTAAACTTTACTACGCATTCAGCCTATTTCGCACTCGCACGGTGTACGTACATGTATGTGTGCGTGTAATAATATACGATAGCTCATTTCCAGGATGGAATAAACTTCATTAATTATTCACTCTCGAGTGTTTCATTTGCTCGTAGGCGCTGCTGCTGGTACTGTGCGTGATATTACATATTTACTTACTATACGCGCATACTAGCCCCAGTAATGAATGTAGTAATCGGAAATTCGATTATCGTTATGATTTCCGCGATGAAGAAATGACCTCCGGTGTAATATTTAATATATCGTTTAAGGATCGGTAGTAAAAGTCTTAGGGGCGCCCTAACTATTGTTAATTTTCCTCTTATACGATGAACAGTAAATCCGAGAGTATCTTACTCCTCTAAAATTGCTGGAATTAGTTGAACTGCAAAAAATATTCGTGACGTTCAAGTACTTTTGAAAGACGTTCGTAACAGGATATTGAAGTAGGCAAAGATGAGTGACTTATTCGTTATATTTACTTTAAAATTACAATAGTTATTTCAGATGAGCAATGATTGTTATGTGAAAAAAAGTAACTACAGTAGATGCCGCTTATATGAATCTCGCTTAATCGAATCCGCCGTTTATACGAATCAAAACGCTTGGTCCCGATTTCCCTCTATACTTTTACATGTTAATTAAAAGTCCCGATTTCAGTATAATGGAATCAAAACCCGTTTATACGAATCAAACGATATTGAACCGTCATCAAGTAAACAAATATAAAATTCGAAATTCACCATGCCTAGAAAAGATTTAACGTTGCTCCAGAAGAAAGAGTTACTAAAACAGTACGACTTGCTCGAAAAGTGCAGTCAACGTGAAGCAGCAGCAAAATTAGAAGTTTCACAGACGCAACTCAATAGGATTTTGAAAAATCGTCATGACCTAGAAGCGGCTAACATTGAAAACGGAAGTTTAAATCGTAAAAGAAAAAGGTGTGGAAAAGACGAAGATGTTGAGAAAATTCTTAAAGTCGTTCAAAAAATAGTCCGCACTAATAAGAAACAATCAAAAATTGATGAATTTTTTGTAGTAGCTTCCTCCAAGCAACAAGTATTCCATTGACGCGTAATAAAATTTGAAAAACGGTTAAATTTGACAAACCTATAAACGTTTTTTTTTTATTAGTATTTAAAATTTCTTACTGCATCGTTTAATTGAATCAGCCGTTTATACGAATCAAAACGTCTGGTCCCATCGTGATTCTTATAAGCGGCATCTACTGTAATACAAAAACCAATAAATAACACCGATTAATGAATACATGGATTTATATGTCAAAATCTGAATTCTGATGTTATTTAATGAAATTTAATTACGATGCTGCCGTTAACAGCTTATCATGTCCTGAAAAATACTATTCCTCGCGTTTTGACTCTTTTCTTTTAGTACACAGTAGCTCATAAGTTACCAATAGATGGCGTTTTCGGAAACGACAAAAGAAAATACAACCAAATCATCTTAAGTTAAGATTTTCTTGAATGTAAATAAGGCACGCTAGTTTGAAATGTGTATCGCCATTTTTCCTGTCGGCAATGCCCTTGAATGCACTAAACGAGTCACTCGGATAATGAGAGGTTGGGGCCTATATACATACATACTCTTGCTTCCGATATCCAGTCGATTGCCCGACCTGTCATCCGCGAAGCGCCATCTAGGAACAGATCGCCATAGGGCCTGTGTGTAAATTTGATTGTGGATGTGGTCAGCACGTTGAATTTAACGTCTTGTACTTTCATCAGCTGTAAACAAGACAAACGTGATTTCGATGTTTTTATCATTGATATTTGACGACACTAAATAAATTTTGTACAATTTTGAAAAATACTTCCAGTATTTTTCTCCCTTTTCAAGAAGAAATTTTTCACGGTGCGACTGTGAATATTTTCATCAATATTTACGAGGTACGCAACATTTATAATAAAATAAAACTATTGCGTTACACCGAAAGAAATTCGCTAACATAAAAATCCAAAATTCATGCCTCACGAATAAAGAAATTCCTCGAGCGAAAATCAATCGTGAAGCTTCGAGCGTCAAGAAATTTTTTTTCCTCCTTCTCCCGTGACATAAATTTTCGGTTGAATTTCTTCCAGTACCAACATCGCTCTGTATACCAAAAAACTATTTTTCTGAAATTACGCATACGTATGCGCTTTGATAAATTTGTCAACCCAAAACTTGACACCTGCGTGTTCTCTGTTTTCTGCTTATAGAATGTGCAGCCAAAACTGGTGGCGGTGGCAACAACAACAACGGCGGCAGCAGCAACAGCAACGGCGGCAGCAGCAACAGCGTCGGCGGCGGCCTGGCCGTGGTGGAGCATCATCCGTCATCCTACTGGGAGCAGCCCTTCAGCCAGCCGTACTTCGATAACGCGACGAAGCGAGACACCACGACGACCGTCGGCCAATCGGCCTACCTGCACTGCCGGGTTCGCAATCTCGGCGATCGAGCGGTGAGTCTACATTATGCTTTATTTATACGCCGCTACGAGCTATGGCTACAGCTAGCTAGGCCTCAACCCTTTTTTTTCTATTATTATCGCCACTCGGCATCGCGAGCTCGCGAGCCCAGCTCGGCATCATATTGTATATTGCTGCTGTTTTTTTTTTTTTTTTTTTTTTTTTTACATAATAGCAGCCGCGTGGCACCTCGCAACTCTCGTATTGCATGCACATTCGCGAGCTGCATTGCTTTTGCGCCGAAGGTATCACTTACATGAGCAATTCTCACGCATATCAAATTATCTCTCTCTGACTCCGTCCGAAACAACCTGTATATACGTATTTCAGACTTTGAACATGCACACTCGAAGCTTTTCTATACAACAGACACACACACTGGAGATATGAAATTCTAATGATATTATCTATTCGTAGACTTTTTCCAAGCTTATCGAGTATTCAAATCGTTATAGTCGCGCGTCTACAATGCTACTAATAGTTCGGGTGCGCGCATAATTACTCTCTCGTGCTTTCTAGACGCGCGCAAGGGTGGGAAAACATTTAAGTGCATGCAAACATTGATGAATTGAGAACATTGTAATCGTCATATTGTTATTTTGATTTTTCGTTCTCTTAATGTGATGAACTTTTGTTTGTTCAAACTTTGAAAATAAATTAAGATAGCATTTTGCTATTCACGAGGCTTGGCAGAGGTCTCCGTGCAACATTATCGCGCCAAAAGTATAAAATAATAATGGACCGATGCGTGTAACTTTTCGGGGGAGGATGAAAAAGCGTCGGATATAAACCATATGCAGACAAATTGGTATAAAATTACGGATTAATGTAAAAATATTCCACAAAACGCTGTAGATCACATTCGTGCGATAATTATCGGCCTCGTATAATATCCGTAGCTATATAGGAGGTATACAGGTCGGAAGAGGAAGGGTACAGATCGATCGGAAGCGGCGCTGGAAATTGGGGAGAGAGAGAGAGAGAGAGAGAGAAGCGAGCGCGAATTCGATGTTTTGCGCGGAATCAGCTGCAGCGCAGTATAGTCTCGTTCGGAGGAGAGGCTCACGCAGCAGCAGCAGCAGTACCGAGAGCTAACTATTTCGTGGCTTGGCGCGCCATCATGCGCGCAATTGTGTATCATCCCTTGTAATCGATGATAAATGAAACATTTGACCTCGACAACGTTGCGAGCTGCCGTTGTTGCAATCTCTGTGCCGCTTCTGCTGCTGCTGCCGCTCTCGGTCCTTTTATCTTGTTTGGCTGCTCGTGCACGTATATAGGTAGCGGGCTATATACTACTACTGTATATCGTGCATGTGCGATTGTATGCATTGGACTTTGCAAGGGGACACCGAATGTGTTTTGGTTTTAGCCGAGCGATGTATATCTATACATTTTTGATGCACAATTTGAATTAACAAAACGAATGAAAATAAAACGTTATCGTTTTATTGGACTCAAAAAATATAAATCAACGGGGCTCCTGTTCGTAATTGAAATGCCGGCTATTTAGTTTTGATTAGGTGAACTTTTTTTATCCTCGAACTTTCAGCGTAGACTATTCTCATGGATATTTCTTCAAGTAGCAGTGTACTGCTCTGTTAAAAATACATTATTTATATTAACATTAATCTAAAAGTAAAGGAAATTTTTTCCGTTTATGCCCTTTGCACAGAAAATTTCAATTTAGTTATCATTTTTTGATAATTCAAATTAAAGAATTTGAATTGAAGACTTGAAATCCAAATGAATTGAGTTAGCTGACGTGATTAACTACATAAAATCTAGCAAGACATTACTACACTCAGTTATTTTCTCGAAACCGTGCTTCACTTATGCAGTTATTTTTACTTTTCCACTTGCAGATTTACAGATGAAGATAATCACTATCTAGTGGCGGAGGCTGGCTTTAATTATGAATGAATTTCCCAACACTGTTTGCGTAATAAAAAAAAAAAAATCAGTATTAAATCATTCATTTTCAATCAAAAGGTTTTAATTCGAAATTGAACGATGTCTTTCTCGTTTACTTGTTTCATTAAACGTACAGTAAATGATTGAATTTTAATGCATGTTTAGTGCAGTTTATGTAAAGACAACACATCAATACTGATACATTAATTTTCAACGAAGACTTTACGTAACAGAACTTTGACTAAAAATTCGTTTATACTTGAATTTTAATGTCGGATTTTACATTAAATCTGCATTAAATTTAGGATTTTTTCAACAGTTCGTATTCATTTTACCCAGAAATGGTGGATAGCGTGTCAGATGTACTTTTGAAATATACCAATTTTAACGGTGTTCACCTAGATCAAAGACTCGTTTTCGTTATAAGTATACCGCTGGAGAGTCTAGTGCTAAGATAATAATATTTAACAGGTCTTGCCACGAGCGCGGCTCTTTGTAACCATGTACAATCTGAGCAGGGGCTCGAGATTTCAGGGTTATAATTTGTTATTCAGAGGTCGGCATTATAGTATATCCAACAGAGTGCAAAAGCGCATATATAGCACCGAGCGAGCTGACAGTGCACCTTCTTGTACCTCATTGCGAGAAATTTTAAGTATCATTATCTTGCCCCCTCATCTCCGAGGTAGTAGCACACCTTGTACGACTACGAGCCGTCGCCTCGTTTTTTAATTTTTTTTTTTTATTTTATTCATGCGAAGTCATTAGAATACCCCAAAGTAGAAGTACTTGTGTAAATAAAACACGTATAATAGAATTTTTCTGAAGCGTTATTAGGTGCAATACATTTTTTGCGATATTTTTTTTTTTTTTTTTTTTTAATTCATAACGAACGAGCTTGGAGAGTCTTTTCTAGCTAATTCTAAAGCATTCCTATTTACGCTGCTCATAAATAGGCGAGCAAAAGTAAAATTAGGAGGTATGAAATTTCTGTGGAACGCCCACGCGAGCTCGAAACTGTACTCTCTTTCTCTCTCCTTTCTCTCTCTCGTTTTTCTTTCATATATAATAAGGATTTTGCGACACGCTCTTTGTAGCGCGGAGAACAATTGATAAGACTCTGTATAATAATTCTCCAGTCGTCATTGTGCTTTAATAATAATACGTAATATTTACTAATACTTTTTCGTATTGTATTTAGTGCTGGCAGTTCAATGGCACTGCGCTACATAAAACGCGAACAAATAGGGTGCACAGGGAGAAGCACTTCAAACGCGCGGAAGAAATGGCGAAATAAAATTAATTACGTTTTGTAACATGCTTGTGACAAATTATAATCCGATTCAATTTTACATTCGGATGCATTAATGTCCGAATGCAAATGCAATGCGAAAATGAGGGAAAAGAAGTATGTATTTATGGTAGAGGTGCAGAAACGCGTGTATCACGGACATTTTGTTTGTTATTGTTCTTTTCAGCAGAAAAAAATAATGCTCTGCGTGTAAATGTACCGCGTGCGTGACACTTTTTAATTGAGCCAACGTAGTGTGAAAATTTTTTCCATTATTTTTTTTCTGTTCTCTCTTTCTCTCTGCGTTATTATTCATTTTTGCGCTTATACGGCTAATATTGGTTAATGCACTTATATTTGAATGGTTATTATTTTCTAAATTAAAAAAAAAAAAAATAAAATAAGCATATCGTTTATCAAATCGTAAGCAGTCCAAAAGAATCATTTTAAAATACTTTGTAATTATAATTCATGTCATTCGTTTTTACTGTAAGAGAATATACCATACTCTAAAATTGTATTAAAAATTCATAAAAAATTTTTTTTTACTTTTTCATCTTTCGTGTAAATTTTTTAGGTTTTTATAGCAAATAAGGAAAAATACAAAAATAAAACCGTGGTCTTATGTAAGAGAATCATTTGTAGAATTTATACTATAATTTTGACTTTGCCACTTGCATAGATATACGTATAAATGTGCTCGCCATCTAGTGGTCTGAACTGGTTTTAAATATGATTAGATTTTCTTAAATTTTTCGTACAATCAACGCCAAAACTACATTATTAAAACAATAATTTTTAATCAAAATGATTAAACAAACTAAACACTCAACAAAAATTTCGTGTAAAAGTACTATAAATACAATTCAGTATAAACCTCATTAAATGCAAGGTTTTTTTTCAACAACGTAAATCGGCAGTTCTATCCGATCGAGTTGTGCTCGAGTAATATCTTTCTTTTTTTTTCATCAATCTTCCGCGTCGTAAAGCAATAATGTTTAAAAAATAATATCACCTAAGTGCGCGCGACGCCGAAGAAAGGCTTTACTGCAATATTTGCATTTTGTACGCGGCTACATCAATGGGCTATAACATAAATACAAGGTTTTTTTCGCCCCCGCTTATGCGTTACGTTACGCGAACGACGTCGACGACGACGACGACGCTCATTACGCTAAGCCGAAACTATTCATCTAGCTGCGCCGCTACTGCCATTGCACCGCCAGTCTTTAACGAGACCGTAAAGGAAAACGATGTCTTACTAGTTGTAAAGCACTTATATACATTATATACACAGAGTTGATAATAAGCCTCGGCTTTAGTTCCGCGCGCGCGAGGGCAAAGTTTCGCTCGAGCAGCCGAGAGAACGAGAACGACTTGACGTTCTACGCGCGCCTTTACGCATTGAAATGAAATTCGACTTAGATATTCATTTCGTATGTATTAATAATACGTACCCTGCGTTTGTGCGTTGCATACACACGTGTCGAACTTTAACATGTGCACATTCAACCGTGGTATACGACGATTCATGTTTTTTTTTGTAGGTATCGTGGATAAGGAAGCGAGACCTGCACATACTGACGGTGGGCATACTGACGTACACGAACGATCAGCGCTTCCAGTCGCTGCACAGCGACGGCAGCGACGAGTGGACGCTGAAAATCAGCTCGCCGCAGGTGCGCGACAGCGGCGTCTACGAGTGCCAGGTCTCGACCGAGCCCAAGATCAGTCTGGCCTACAAGCTCAACGTTGTCGGTGAGTTTTTTTTTTTATTTGTGCATACGATGGTCTTCTAGTTGGGTACAGGGTGGTTCCCTTTGGAAGGAAAATAATTATCGAGGTGAAAGCTTCACGATGAATCGATTGTTTTGTTGCAAAGGTTGAAAAATTTTCCAATTGCTAAGGGATTTTATTTTTAAAGTCGGTTTTAAAAATACCCAATCAAAGTGGAGATGCTCAAAATTGTTTGGCTTAGTTTTATACTCAAAGAGCTATTAGAACTGGACGTATAATACTAATATTAGAAATGTAACGTGTCTTCCAAATGTATGGCCGTATAATCCATTTCATCCGCTAGATGACTAAAACCTCTCGGAGATTTGTTTCCACAAAAGAATTGTCTCTGCTAATAGGTCAAAGCCAATATCTAAACACGAATATGTTCGAATTATTATCTTTGGAATGAGATGGAAAAGCGAGACGAGAGAAAACGTCAACGAATATCCGTGAAAAGGCTACAATTGTAGTGATTGCGTGGAAACATACTCATTGCAATTTTGAAGAAGTTCCTCCTAGGACCTATTAGCCTTGGCTTATGCCCAGGCAGGTACACCTTTTTTGAAGAATTAACTCTCCAAAAGGTCTTAGCCATCTGGTGGTTGAAATGGAAACAGCGCGAGTGAGCACGAGAAACAGATAGATTCACGACGCGGCATAAACGTATCAGAGACAAGAGCGTCGAGCACTGTAATTGCCTTCATGTTGCACATCGCAGTAGAATCGAGCGAGCAGACTCTTGAAACTGCCAAGCGCCGAACAATTACAGTGCGCGAAGCAAATAGACGCCCCTGAGATTAAAAAAACTTACGATTATCGAGCTCGCTCGCTCGTTTTTCACGGATTGACTGAGTTACCCAACGAGTCGAGTTTTTTAAATTTTTATTCTTAAATATTTTTACATATTTGTTTCAAACGATTTTTCAGTCAACATTGCCAGTCAAAAAGTACTATCTAATTTGCTTCACGTTTTACAGAAAATATTATTTACTTTCAACTTTTTATTCATATTTTTCAAGAAATGAGAAATACTTTAAGTAACAAAAGTTTGATTAAACGTATACAAATATACCTATTCGATAATTTGCTAAGCCTGGTATAGAATCTATGAAGATGCGACAGCATCTATTCTAGGATTTGTTAGCATTAACACGAAATTTCTCTATTTCTCATTTCCTATTTAATCGGTAGACTTTTGAAGCATTTACACTCGTGTGGATAAATGAATTTTTATGCTGTCACAGTGTCAAAAGCGAAAATTGTGGGCAACTCGGAGCTGTATATCAAGAGTGGCAGTGACATCAACCTGACCTGCGTTGTACTACAGACTCCCGATCCACCATCTTTTATTTACTGGTGAGTTAATTTTTGTTTTTTTTCTTTTTCTCTGCTCTCCTAAATCATCGGTGCATGACTGCCTTAGACATAGAATTAATAATTTTAAACCTACACATAAAGAGCTTTAGTTTTCAATATGAATATTATCCTTTGAACTAATATGCGCTTTAAGCGTTGATTAATATACTTCATTTATTTTCAGATCATCTTACCCAATGTCGCACGAAATTTAGTCATTCGAAAATAACTCCATATAACTTAATGTCTCTTTTACCAAATAGCATGCAGGTGGTCTCTCCAAAGAGAAACTGCTGGAGGGAGAGAGAGAGAAACAAAAGTACAAGATGCGGACCAAGCAACTTTTGACCTATCTCACGTTTAATTCGCTACGAGTACGTTTCTGTGCGCTAAACTTTCTCTCTCCCTCTCCCTCTTTCTCGGCAGCCAAGAGGGTGAGGCTCGACTCTACGGTCTACAGCTCTATAGTAGCCCAAGCCGATCGGAAGTTTTCCTCTCTTGCTTATGCGGAAATTATTCTTCTTTCTTTCCTGATTTTATTAACTAACTTTTCCTTAATTGCAAGCTGCACACTGCCTCGTTATGAATACATTTCTTTCTTACTCCTTTTTTTTCATCTACTTTTTTTACCTATAATTGTACGAGTGCGTACGTTTGCCAAGATACCATCTCTACAAGTGGCGCGAAATTTCTCTATTTGTAAAGATAAAAAGACGCAACGCGTGGCGTGGCACAGTTTTACCACGTCGTAAAACGGAGTACAACCGAATACGTAAGCCTCAACCGCGCGCCTGGTGCACAGTTTAATTAATGAAGGGGTCGTTGCACCGAGGCGCATGCTGATGCTGATACGACGCCAAATTACATTATAATGAAGAGAATGTGCGGCGCGTTAAAGACAATATAAAATCTCTTTTCGTCGCTAGGTATCGTATATATTTCGTGTTTTTATTCGACGCGCGAAAACGAGCCGCAGCTAATTTAATGAATTTTCCGAATATACATGCACGTAGTTTATTTCTAGTTTATGTGCGATAGAAGAGAGCTACGTTATATAACATGCATGCGAAAATTTGCCTACAGGTATCGGGGCGAGCACGTGATAAATTACAGCCAGCGCGGCGGGATCAGCGTGGTCACGGAGAAGCAGACTCGCACGTCGCACCTGCTGATCTCGCGCGCCCTCCCCGTGGACTCGGGCAATTATACTTGCGCCCCGTCGACCGCCGAGTCGGCCAGCGTGCTCGTTCACGTGCTCAACGGTAAGTGTACTGCGGCAGCTATATTATTATTATTGTTATTATTATTATTGCACACGCATACACACACACACACATCCACTTTTCCCTCATCCATCTCATTTGATGCTATTAGCGGTGGCGCTTCGGTACGCGTGAGCGATATATAACCCAAAAAATATCCACGAGTGCACACGAATGGGTGTGTTCATAATTCAACGCTGCCGCGGGGTAGGCTGACGAGATTATTGGTAATTATTCGACGCGGTCTGTATCCGGTGCATGGCTCGCAGTACTTGCGGTAAGAAGGAATTACTCGTCACACGCTCGATCGTTCCCCTTTAAAATTCGGGCAATTTGGGGGCTTGGTTCGGGGATGAAAACAATCCTGTCACAAATCGAATGACTCGAAAATTCTTTTTTCCCAGCTATAAATCTCGTTGAACCTTTGTAGAGTCACGAGAATTTTCCAGGATTTGCATAATTCAATAACGAGCTCCATTTTTCGAGCCATGATACAGTTTGAAATAAGAAAAAAAAAACGTATTCATTCATAATACACACACACACACACACACAGAGCAATGATGATCTCGTATAGCTCGAGTGAAATACTCTCTCTGTCGCAAGCGCACAGGCGAAGAAATAATTGCACGACGATGCTTGTTAGCGCCGTCGAGCTTTTCGCTCATCTGTATCCCGCGCGCGTTATACACGCTGCTCCTAAATCAAGGCTTTTGTCATTTGCAATTGTTTTGAAACTATCCCGCCCGCCGACGACTAGCGCAGTGTCCACCGAGACGACGTCACAAACGACGACTAAGTTCCTTTTTTCCATCTAGGTTTATTTGTACAATAGAAAATTATGCCTCTTTGATCTCGCGCGCCGTTACTCTTATATATTCTTTTACCTTTGAATACTTGAACGAGGTGCGCGCAACCTTATATAGTATACCTACAAACACATAATGGCTGAGGCGAAGACGGCAAGAGATAAATACAGCGGAGGTCGTGTTTCCTTTGAGCTTTTTTTTCAATTTTGCTACTATACTATACTGGATGTATAATATATAGAGCGCAGCATTGAATCACATGGTATCAGAAAACGCGAAGAACGCTAGTGTTTCAAAGATTTAATTTCATTTACAGCTCGAGAAAGATGGATGCAAACAAACCTGAGAAAAATCATAATAATTTTGGTTGTTTAATGTTTGCTTGTGAACCGACTTTACATTACATCGATATTGTACAGAAAAAATATACATCAGTCATTAATTATTTATAATGAAAAATGTTAAGCTTTTTTGGGATAGCATTGATAGAATGTAAAGTTGAAAATAAGATGTGGTACATTTTTTGAAATTCATGAAAGCACACCATTACAGAAAAGCAAACAGAAAATAAAATGATTCAACGTTTTTATTCTAATATAGTAATAAGACTGCATCTAGCTTGGGTACTTTTGAAATTATGCAAGGATTTGAATCTTTTTTGATTCGAATATTATATCATACTTTTGAATTAGGTGAAAGGTAACAAGGCCTTTATGTATCTTCTAACATATTAAGTAAAAGCTTACAAAGAATTAGGTATGTGCATACAAAGAAAAATTGCATTCATAAAATGAAAATTAGAAATTTCATTAATTGAAAATTCAATTAAAATAGCATTGAACATCAAAAAAAATTGAATAAAAATTTTATCAATGCGAAAAAATATCCTGATACTTCGCTTTTTAACTTTTATTGGTTTTTAATGTTTTTCTTTTCATTTTCATTCATTTAAATTACAACACGCACTTTTACACAAACGGACTACAGAAAATAGTTTACTTTTTATACAAATGAAACAAATTTATCATCCTGTTCCAATGTCAATTCCAATGCCTTTGATACATGTCTTTGATATGTATCAAAGTTCTTACGTTTACAAATAGCAATCGATGACCATTTCGCAGCACTCTATCCTATCCACTTCAAAAAGGAATCCAGCCCTCAACTGCGGAAAAATCCTCGCTCGCTGCTATCTGGCACACAATCGCTGCGCTGCCCTCGCGCTGCCCTTCCAGAGAGAACCGACTTCGATCGGATCTCGCGAAATCTTAGTAGTCCGTGTACTTCGGGGCGTATCGTCGTCTCTTTGAACTTATCGTTGATAATGCAGTGATCGACGAACTTCGTCGATGCCTCGAACGATCGAGAATACACGTTCTCGAGGTTTTCGACGATGACCAGTGCGCTGGACATGAGTTTGAATTTAGAATCAGTCCTAATTATCGCATATTCCCACAATTTTGAGAAGACGAAGCTAGAGAAGTCGAGATCAAACGGACCTCATTGGGACGGAAATTCTTTACGGACAATTGCAACGGTGTTCAGCCAAACCTATCCACCGCGTTCGATCTGTATCAGCTGACATTTTTTGTCGGCGATCTTGAAGAATATCTCCGCCAAGTTACCGCATGCATATTTAAGCAAATAATATCTGCAGAGATGTCTGTCCCTCTATATTGACCAAATTTGGATCATGCCGTTGCTCAACATGGTCCAATATTCCGCAGATTCGGGAATACTTTGTAAAATTCCATTAAAATAGTTATTGTTACGTGGGTTCCGTTTTTCCCGGATTACAATGCATCAGCGCGAGAGAGACAGAGACGCACGACGTTACGATTCCGAGAGCCTGAGCGGGACAATCAGTATAGTTTTCACAGCAGAGGCGATCCAAAGGTATCATATTTGATGATGAGCCTTCTGATTTCATCGACAGATGGAGTACTGTAAACTCGCAAGTGGCAAAAATATTTACGATTTGTATATAAGTGTGTAGCGAACACTTGGATTTTTTGAAACTTGTATCACATTTCTATCTTGATATAGAAATCATTAAAATAATTATTAACCGAAGGAAATTATACATCGCTCAATGTATTAGATGTATTAGATGTGTGTGTGCGTTTTCTAGGAAATGCCTTCTAGTACAAAGTTTCATCGAGGGTAAAAAAACTTGAGCTCGCTGGCGCTTCGCCTCTAGGATATACCCAGCTCAGATACGCAAGAGTCAAGAACTTTGTACACGCAAGTAGTTGGTAGCAGCAGTAAATCCAACGACGAAGCTTATAACCGATAAACTAAACGGCAGAAGGCACGTGAGTGCGGGGCAAAAGTAACGTAACGGGAGGGATGCTGCTGCTGCTGCTGCTGCATAATGTGTATCAAGCTGAAAATGCCCGAGGAAAGAGTCGTCTGACGGTTGAAATGTCTATTCCTTGTTAAAAGTGGAGGAGCAAGTTTAGAAGAAATATGTCATGTGTATATATTGTACGACGTGCATGTGTACACGCGCGGGTAAATTCTCGAGTAAAAAAGTCCACGAGGCGCAGCTGCAGCAGCGAGAGAGTGAGTTTGTTTGAATCGGTATAAGTTTTTGGGATTACGTTTCGATCAAAAGACTTCTCATTACCTGTTTGTATGCGTATATACGTTTCAATGGAAGATAGGAGTCACTTATACGCGTGGAACTTAATTTTTTTTTCTTTCAATGTTTGCTTTTTATATTCATTCGAAAAGACAGATGTTTTATGGATATATATTTGAAGTAATTTCCGATCCGACATACTTATTTAATCATTCAATCGATATAATAAGATAATTTTTTAATACATTAAATTGTCAGTGACAGATTGTTTAAAAGCCACTCAACATTTCATACATAATTGTAACAGAAAAATGGCAAGGAACAAGTTTATTAATTATTTCAATACATTTTAAAACATTCTAAATGGTCAGATGCCCTTTTACATCAATAAAGGAAGTGAAATAATATTGCCGGTGCGTTCATACATTTAACCCCGCAAGAGATATATGAGACAATAAAAGCTAAGTGGAAAAAACAAATCTAAAAGTCAAACAATTTAAATTCCAAAAAAATTAAATTGTAAAAATTGACTCAATAAAAAATCTATAACAGGGCCATACTGCGCGGCGTTCGGCTCTGTATAGCGGTAAAAACAGGGTATTAGCTTAAATTTCGTCAGAGCTAGTGCGCAGAGAAAAACAGCAGCAGCAGCGATGCTGCGCTAGATATATATAGTAGAATACTTCCAAAAAAAAGAACCACAGCAAAATTCCAGAAAATGAGAGGAAAAAAAAGGAAGCGAAAGAAAGGCAAGCGAACGCGTGGCGCAAAAAAGGCATATCGGTACTTACACACACATACACAAACACACAGACGAAGAGGATAGCAAAAGGAAACGATAAAACAAGGTGGTTTCGATGGGCCATACCACGGCTGGTTGCGATGCCGTGCATGTGTGCTCGCTCCGGTACTTTCACGCACGTGCAAAGCACCCAGCACCATCCGCCGTTGTTGTAAGCTCGAGCGCAAGCACGCATTGGTATATGGGCAGAGCTACGTGAAGTGGCCAGGCTTAAAATAGAAATTACAATTAGGTTCATGAGGTGTATCGAGCCAATCTTGATCAAGTATGTGCTCTTATAAAGTGAAAAATTGATTTCACATAAATCTACAGAAACTCATTATACATTAGAATATCTGTTACACTTTTTAAGCGAATCCTAATAAGTATCCATACCATTGCTTATTTTTTCTTCAAGAAACCCCCATGTACGTTCATACAGCCTCAAAACACACAGAGGTGTGTATGCCGTTAGGATATATCCAAGCCTCTCTCTCTCTCTCTCTCTCTCTCTCTCTCTCTCTCTCACATATACAGCAGTGGTGGTTTCAGTCGCCCGGGCTCTCTCGTCTTATTTTCTCAACACGCGTAAAGCGCCGAAGATATAAATTTTTTAGATACGTCTTCCTTCTTTGCTACTGCTGCTGGTGCCCCCGTCTCGTTGCTTTTACTATGCCGCCGTCGCTGCTACTGCTACTTCTGCTCGGCTTGGAAGGATAAATCAGACGAGATATTGTCCTATGAAAATCCCTTTTCCTTTTTGCAGCTCTGCGCTGTGTCTCTTCGCATCTTTTGCGATACATGTACCTCTTCGGTATTTTAGTAG